TTTTTGGAGAGGTTTTTGCTATAGGGCATGTGTGCTCGCCAGACAGACAGAGAGAGACAGAGAGACAAAAAGCAAGAAATCACCCTCCAGGGGGCATGGGCATGCCGCAATCCCTTCTCCTCCATTATCCTCTCGGGATCTTGGGCACGCATGCACACGCACCCAGCATGAGTTCTAAGCCACCGGGTCTGGGACACGAACCGCGGTCGAATACGTGGGAGTCCAGTGACATAGCCGTTACACTAACTGCTGGTCCATCATTGTGGTTTTGATATGCATTTCCCTTACAATGAGTGATGTTGAACATTTCTTCATATGCTTTTTGGCTGTTTGTATGTCTTCCTTAGAGAGTTGTTTATTCAGCTTATTTTCCCATCTTTTAATTGGGTTAATCTTTATTTATTTATTTTTTTCCAGGTAAGCTGCTTGAGTTCCCTGTGTATTCTGGTTATCAGTCCCTTATCTGAGGCACAGTTTACAAAAATTCTCTTGCATTCTGAGGGTTGTCGATTCACACCAGTGAATCACACAGTTTTGCTGTGCAGAAACTTCTTAATCTGATGTAATTCCACTTGTCTATTTTGGGGATTATAGCCTGTGTGTTGTGGGTCTTACTTAAGAAGTCTTGGCCTACACCAATGTCTCCCAGAGTTTCCCCAGTGTTTTCCACCAGTAGTTTTATTGTTTGCAGTCTTAGGTTTAAATCTTTGATCCATCTACTTTGAGTTGATTTTTGTTAATAGCAACAGATAGGGGTTCAGATTCATCTTTATGCAGGTGGATACCCAGTTTTTCCAGCACCATTTGCTAAAGAGGTTTTCCTTTTCCCACTGGATTGATTGGTACCCTTGGTCAAAGATTAGTTGGCTGTATGTTTTGGGATTTATTTCTGGGGTCTCTACTCTGTTCCATTGGTCCTCATGTCTGTTTTTTGTGCCAATACCATGCTGTTTTGATTATCACAGCTTTGTAATATATTTAGAGGTCAGGAAATGAGATGCCCCCTACTTCACTCTTCTTGCACAGAATGGCTTTGGCAATATGGGGTCTTTTATAATTCCAGACAAATTCTATAATTGTCTTTTCTAGATATGTGAAGAATGTTTCTTGTAATTTTATAGGGATTGCCTTAAATATGTAGATCAATTTGGGTTGGATTGGCATTTTGATTATATTAATTCTGCCAATCCAGGAACATGGGATGTCCTTTCATGTCCTTTTTTGTGTACTTTTTGATTTCCTTTTTAAGGTTTTCATAGTTTTCCTTATAGAGGTCTTTTACTTCCTTGGTTAGTTTTATTCCTAAGTATCTTATACTTTTTTTTTTTAAGAGGTTTTTGCTATAGTGTGTGTGCACTCACCAGACAGACAGAGAGAGACAGAGAGATGGAAAGCGAGAAATCACCCCCCAGGGGGGATGGCCATGCCGCAATCC